AAAATAGGCCTGCCCCAGGAACTGCTATTAACCACTTCCTAGCCAGAGACTCAGCAAGAGGACAAAATGTGGGGCAGACTTTTGCCAAAGGGACTCGCACTCCTCCTGCTACTCCAGCAGGAGGACAGGTCGCTTCAAGGCTCTCTGGGAGGGGGTGGGGGAAGCTCTTGGGACAATGTGAGCCTTTAGGGATAGACCATGTGGCTCGCTGTTGGGTGCTCAGAATCTGGGCACCTGCGTCCTGCCCAGCTTGGTCCTTTCCCCTGGGGCTCAGTTTCCACAACAGAAAACTGGAGTTACTACCCCCTTTCACTTCCCTTTCCTCCAACACTTACTAGTTGTATGACTTTGGGCAGATTATCTACCTTCTCAGTGCCTCCATTTCCACATCTGGAACATGGGCATCATAATCATATGTACCTCACGGGGTCATTATTATAAGGACCAAATGAGTGCTACTTAAATTTATAACTTTAAGGAAACAGTGCAGGTGCAGGGGAGGGAGGTGCTAACTCTATTCTGAGGACTCTAAAGAAGGAAGATCATAAATAACCCAAGTACTGAAGACTAATTATCCACTGTGGGGCTTATTTATTCGTGCACAAATCATTACGTGAGAAACATTGTCTACTTCTTTCTTTAAATCAGCTTAATCCACATGTGCCACAGCGTTTTTTATCCACTTGCCTATTGATGGGCACTTGGGTTGCTTTCATATCTTGGCTATTGGACATAATAGCGCTACAATGGATGTAGCGATACACACATTCCTTTGACTTAGTGTTTTGGGTTTCCTTGGCATCCCCAGAAGTGGGATCACTGGGTTTAAATCAGCTTAATTCAGGCTCTCAGTTCCCATCGAAAGGATTTCTACTCCAGTCATGCTGACAACCTCCTTGGGACAGGGTGTATTTTCCAGACCGAGACCCTGGCCAGCAAGAAGAGGTGCAACAATATCTTCTGTCCTGTGAGCTCTTCTTGAACTTTGCAACCCCCTCATCAAGAGAGGGAGACTATATTCCCTCCCTTTGAACTGGGTGGGCCTTTGTGATTGCCTCCACTAATAGAATACAAAAGAAGAGATACAAGATGATTAAAGCCTAGGTCAGAAAATGCCATATGCTTCTGCCCCATTCTCTGTCTTGCAATAAGAAAGCCCACGCAACATGCAGAGATGCCCCATGGAGAGGAACTGAGGTCTTGGCCCACTGCTCTGGTGGAGCACCAACTTGCTAACTATGTGAGTGCGCCATCTTGGAAATGGATCCCCTGAACCAGCTGACATTGCACAGAGCAGAGATAAGCCTTCCCCACTGAACCCACCCTAGATTGCAGATTTATGGGCTAAATGATTGGGCGGTTTGTTACAGAGCAATAGGAAACAGATGCACCCCTCTCCCTTCTGCCCAGCCTCCCTCCCCGCAGAGCCGTGTGAGTCTTGGGGCCTTACCAGGGTCAGGCGTCAATGGGACCCCGACACCCATGTTCTTGCCCAGAAGAACCATCAGATCTCCTGCTCTGTAGCTCCTGGGGCATGTTTGGTGTGGGCAGGCCCTCTGAGAAGCCAGGAACCCTGTGGTCATATCCTTGAGGTCTTGCTGTCCCACCATCTTCCCTGCCTGAACATGGGATGTTTGATATTGGCTCTTTCTAGAGTGGCTCTTTCCCCTTTTCCGGCCTCCAGAACTCTCAACTTCACCTCTGGGCGGACTGGAGAATTTCACAGAAGATGAGAGTCGTCTCCCTCTAGAGGTGGCTCTGCTCTCTGCCTGGCAAAATGCCCAGCTGAGCCATGACAGAGCCTGACTCTCCTGGAAAGATAGGAAATGCTGGGAGAACCAACCCAATTTGATATGTCAGTAAAGAACTCAGACACACATCTACTCAATGACTCTCTCTTAAGCTTCCAATATGTGCGAGCATTGTGCTCAGTGCTGGGGAGACAAGGGCAAAAGGCAGTGCCACCCATAGACCTAGGAAAGAGAGGTCACCTGTGTCAGCTTGACTATACTTGAGGTGTCTAAAACCCTGGAAATCTCTGCCTAAAGGACCCAAGACCAGTTTTAGGGCTTACACAAGCACGTTCGACAGGTCAATCCTGAGGGTACAATGTGGCCTTGTGCACACCCTTAGAGGGGTGACCGAGTGGTAAGTATAGACAGGACACGTTTACGGTTTGGTCACATGGGCTAGGATGGTCATATTCCTAGGTCCTCGGCCACTTATAACACAAGACAGACATGGGGCTAGGGAGAGAGTCAGGGTAGGTGGGCTGAGGGCTGGGGTCAGGGCTGACCTCTGTCACGCTGTCGTGTTCCTGCATAGAATTCCAAAAAGTACAAGAATCGTAAATTTGAACATGGCCTTCTTGGTCATCATAAAGAATATTTCTCAAGGCAGGAAAATAAACATGTTTTATTTTCCACCCTGTTAAAGGTTTATATATACATGGCATGTGGGCCTTAATTTGCACTATTAGTATGTTAGGGTAGTTCCGTGGGATAGTAACAGTAGGGGAGGGGGTGATGGTGGTGGAGTATGGCAGATTCCAGAAGCTGCCTGCAGACTGCCCTCCATGTTGTGACAGCTGCCCCCATCTCTAATCTGGAGTGACAGAGACAGGAAGGGGTAGCAGATGGGACTAGTGTGATGAGAAGTCTGTCTGGGGGAGGGGAGAGGGGGTCAATGGAATCCAGCTGTTTGGCCAAGCCAGTCACCATCACAAACACCCACAGCTTGAGGGGAGGGGACATGAAGCACAGTAGAAGAGCGGAGCGTTTTATACCCATTTTGCATGGATTGGCTAGAAGCCCAGCCCAAGAGAGAATAGCGCAGCACTTCTCAAAGTACGGTCCCTGGACCAGCAGCATCAACATCAACTGGGAGCTCGTTAGGCTCTTGGCCTCTTGCAAGATAATGGTGTCCCTCCGTGAGAAGAACAAGTTGGTGTGGAGATTCTATGAAGACGACTTTTTACCGGAAAAAGCACATTTAGCGAACATACCAAGTGTCCAAGGGTGGGCTAACGCTTCATTGACAATATCAGATTGGATCCTCAACAGACACTCAAGATTGGTATTATTACCTTTGTAAGGGTTTATCCCAGAAAAAGGAGGTACTGTGGAGGGAAAAGGGGCTCTGCAGAAAGTAACCTCACAGGCTGATTGATCATAAATTCCTAACTGGGCAGGTTATGGTGGGTAGTCACCCCCAGGCATACAATGTTTTGAGTAAAAGGTTTGTATTTGTCAGAAGCCAGCCCCGCCCATTGTTCTTGTGCATCTAGGTTAATACATCTTTGAAATAATCATAAGCACCCTCATAATCTTAACTATCCTGTAATCCAATCCCCACCTTGCTTTCATCTAACCTTCATGTAATCTTCCTTACTTCCCTCGTAATTTCAAATGGATGAAAGAAACTGCAAAACTGTCCTCCTCCGAAGCATTTGAGATGTTGCTTCCGAGTAATTGTCTTTTGGCTCAAATAAACTCAGACAAATTCTTTACAGGTTTCGATGATTCTTACCCTGCCTTGGGCCACAAGGCTTCCAAGAGGTTACCTGGTCTGTGTGATTGTCAGGCCACCCAACCTTCTTCTCACACTTGATGGGAGGCCTTGTTTAAACAAATTGCTAGGCTCCTTCCCCTGAGTTTCTCACTCAGTAAGTCCGGGATGCGGCCCCATAACACACAATCCCAACAAGTTTCCAGGTGCTGCTGCAGGTCTAAGGACCATGCTTTGGGAAGGACCATGCTGGCGTTGGATCCAGTTCCCACCCTGCTCCACCCATGCAGAATGACGTCCTTGGGAGATGCCAATGAGATAATGGGAATGAAAGAGCTTTGTCAACTGCACAGGGAAATGGCCCTGGTCAGTAACCTGCTTGGTGACATGCCTGAGGCTGGTCCCGGGGTCTGGGAATGAAGAGGGCTGGAATGCAGGTGGGGGCCCCACAGCCATCTGGAGATCTTTTGCAGCCTATCTTCATTCTGGGCCGTTTCTTCTCGAGAGAGAAAGCCAGCAATCCTTCCCATGGCCCCCTCATCACCCCACGCCTCCGTCCTCACCTCAGGCAACCTACTGGGCACTGCTCCAACAGCTGGCTGGCCCCGGCCACTTCTCCAGGGCAGCATCAAGCCTGTGATTCAGGGCTTGGGACTGGGTCCCAACTCACATCTCCAGTGTGAGACTCAGAGACCATGACTTCTCTTCTCTGAGCCTCAGGTTACTCTTGGGTAAAATGGGTGCAACATCTGCAGAGAGTTGTGCGAATCCAAGAGCCAGTAGTTTTTTACAGTGCTTGGCATAGTGCCAGGCATTTGGTAACTGTGAGTATTTTTAAAAAGCGCTTGGGCCCAAGCTGCCTCCTGACAGAGATTCGCACTTGGAACGCAAACCGCTCCCAAGCCATGCACCGGTTGGACCCGCGTACACCCTCCCTCGGCCTGCCCGCCCGCGCGGAGTTTGGGCTGGCAGGACAGAGCAAGATTAGGTAGGCGCTGAGGCGGGGAAGGGGCGTGCCTGGGGCGTGGCCTCCCCCTAGGAGGGCTTGGGGCCGGGGTCGACTGTAATGGAGGCGGGGGCAAGGCCGAGGAGATCGGGACCGTTAAGTAGCATTGCGCGTGGGGCTGCCCACCCAGCAGGGCTCGAGCGCGGAACCCCGCCAGGCCGGGGGCCAGGCTTTATCCCGGCAGCTCCGGAGTCTAGAGGGACACAGAGAACAAGGCCGAGGAGGAGGGCCCAGGGACGGACCTCATCCAAGGTGGGCCTAGCGGAGGGGTTAGCGGCTAGATTGGGAGGCCATAGCGGGGCGGGGCAAGGGGCGTGCCCCGCCCCCCCCAGGGCCCGAGGCGGGGCTGCCAGGGTTACAGTTGGCAGGCCGTGGGGGCGGAGCCTGGTCGGGCTTGGTGCTTGGCTACATTCCTGCAGCACCAGGGGGCGGGGCTGGCGGACCTGCCAGGGGGCGTGTTCAGGGCGTGTTCTCAAGGCGGGGGAGGGCTCGGCCGAGGCAGTTGCTTTCTCGGAGGACTACGCGGAGGGGCCGAGTGGCTGAGCCCAGCGCTGCGCAGTCGAACGCTGACTGGGGCACGAGCAGGCGACGCCAGGCTTGCAGCGCCGAGCGAAAACCAGACTCATCAGGTGAGATGGGACCGGGGGGAGGCCGCCCCGCCGGTCAGTAGCAAAGTTAGTTTTCGCCACCCCTTCCAGAGTGCGCTTGGGCAGCTTTCTCGGAACAAGTGACAGGTCGGGCCACGAAGGCAGCTGGTGAGTGAGAAAGAGCTTAAGTTCCGGAGTTCTGAACCCCATTTCTCCAGCTCCGCCATGCACCAGCTGTGTGACCCGGGTTCATCCCTGCCCTGGGCTCTGGACCTCTCGAGTTCCAGTAAAAGGAGGTTGAACCACGTGAACTTCACGGTCCCGTTGCCCTTTCTAGTTAAAACCCCGGAAGGTGAGGGCTGGCAGGTGAGAACAAATGCAGTTTCGCCACAGGTATTCAGATCGCGCTGCCCAGACCGCAGTTTCTCTGCTTGCAGAGTGACACTGAGCAAAGCCAAGTCTCTGTAAACGTGAAGCGAATTGTTTTAAAGGTCACACTATTTACTTGTATGGGGCTTGAACCCACAAGCCCAGGAAGAGTGGAGCCCAAGTCAGGGAGATTTCAGTCTCCCCTTCCCCCCAACTCTGAGAGCCCAGTATGACTTTGGGTCAGAAACTCAATGGGGCTTTTGTACCCCTCCAAGGGCTTTTCCAGGTGAGTTGGCCTGAGAGGCCCAGGGCAGAAAGCAGGCAACAAGTTCTCATCTGGTGAGTGGGGAAAAGAAGGGAAAACCCTGCCAAACTTTGGGCCCAGAGTGAAGCCCAGGGCCTGGGGCTCTTGCTGTATGCCCAGGGTTAGTTCTTGAGTCTGGAGATTTCTGTCCTCGGTGATTGTGGGTGCTCTGTGCCAGGGCCATGGTCGTTGGACAGCCTAGATCAATGGTCAAGTGCTTGGGCTTTGGGACCAAACTGACCTGGATTTCACTCGCCCTCTAAGCTTCAGTTTCCTCATCTGTAAAATGGGGATAATGACAGGACCTATTGTCAGTAGTGAGGACTTAATAGAATAATGTGTGTACAGTGCTTAGCAAGGCACCAAGCACCTAGTGAGGCCTCACCACATGCCAGCTACTCTGATGTGGATGGGCAGGTGGTGGGCTGGCTTCCTGCCTGGGAATAAGCCTGTTTTTGGAGGGTCAAAGACTGGGTGCATCCCCTCCTGACCCTGCAAGAGCCAGAAATTGCCACCTGCTGCCAGCATCAGTTTGCCCATTTCCAGACTGAGGTTTAGATTGCCATCTGGACCAAAGAGTGGCTGAACTGTCTGTAATATTGCTTGAGGCTGGTGGGTATCCCATTAAATCAACACAAAAATGTGTCCTGAGCCCCTGTTGTATATTGGGTGTTGTTTCAGAGGTGAACTAGCCAGACCTGGTCTCTGCCATCATTTTGAGTTGCTGCCAGGGAAGGCTCCCCATCCCCACCAAGCCCCTGCTGGAGAGGATTACTCAGACCCAAGGCTCCAGGCCAGATGAGATTCCACGAATCTCTACTGCTCTGGTGGCTGCAGTCCAGCTCTTCTATTGCACATTTGGCTTGGGGTTGGGGAGAGGGGCAGTGGGGCACCTGTTATCTGTTTGATCAGGGTTGGGCCCTGGAGGAGACTGGGAATGGTGCATGCCCACTCCCTGCATCTCCTGGGGAAATGAGCCATACACTTTGGAACCAGCTGGAAAGTACTCTGGGACAAAGTCTGATTGAAGGCTGCGCTAAGTGGAGGAGAGAGAGGGAGAGAGAGAATGGGGTGGAGGTGGTACTTAGAAGAAGTGAGACATAGGAGAAAGCAGGGTAGGGAGTGAGGGAGCTTCTTAGAGTTGGTGAGACTTGGGCGGGACTTTCTACCTGGGTTCCCAAGTTCTGGTTGGCCTTGGATCAACTTGGGGCCACAGTCTCCCGTCTCCAGCATTTGAGTGACATAAGATTGGAGTTTGGTATGGTGGGGAGGGAAAGGTCAGTAGGTGGAGACTGTTGGGGGAGGTGTTCATTTCAAACAGTGCTTAGTAAGCATGTACTGGAAAGTCCTCCCCACCGCTCTCTTCCCCACATGACGAGTGACAAACGATGACACATTGATCCCATACTTAGCTGCCTACTGTCTGGGAAGGAACTAAGACAAGGATACCCTTGACTCCAACAGGAGATAAATGAAGAAAGGATTAGAGGGATCTTCAGGAAAGCTTCCTTGGAACCCAGGGAGTTTGGGAGGGCCTTAAGGATTGGGAGGGTTTCGGGGGCTGCAAGGAAGACAGTGTTTGGGGCAGATGAAAATGTATAGGCAAAGGCAAGGAGGTCAGTCTGTTCAGGGAGATTTAAAGAAACTTCTGGGTTGATCAGTCCAGCTGAAGAGTTGGGACTGTGGAGGGATTTGAAGGGGGAATGGTAGGTTGGATCAACTCATCAAGGGCCTTGAATGCCAAGGTGAGATGTTTGGATTGTTTTGTAGAAAGTGAGAGCTGCTGAGGGTTTTCGAGCAGGGGAGTGACACAGAGTAGCACTTTAAAAAAAAATTTTTTTTATTTATTTTTAGAGAGAAGGGAAGGGAGGGAGAAAGAGAGGGAGAGGAACATCGATGTGTGAGAGATACATCAATGGGTTGCCTCTGGCATGCCCCCAACTGGGGACCTGGCCCCTAACTCAGGCATGTGCCCTGATCGGGAATCGAACTGGCAACCTTTCGCTCGCAAGCCAGCACTTGCGAGCCTTTCGTTCGTGGACTTACCCTCCAGTGGACTTCCAGTGGACTTATCCGCCACCGGAAGCAATCCACTGAGCCACATCAGCCAGGGCCAGAGTGGCAGTTTAGATATGCTGGAGTGGGTGGCCCCGTGGTCAAGGGATAATGAATTGATGGCAGTGGTGACAGGGAAGGAGTGGCCTGTGGGGCTTTGGGGATATCTGCAGCGGGGGGATAGTAAAGGTACCATCAGAGGGATAGGAGGGACCCAGGCTGACATGGGAGAGGAGAGAGTGCCCCCGTGCTCGCCCTGTGTTTCTTTCTGCTCCCTACCCTGGCTAGATCATGGCTCATAGCAGGGGCTGAGGGAGGCACTAAGATTGGGTGTGTGGGGGGTGCTGGGGAGGGTGATGAGTGCTATGGAGTGATAGAGAGGGAGCCACCCTAGGAGGCCTTACCGTTTGCCGATGACGGGAAGCATCTGGGCCAAGGGGTGGAGCTTCAGCCAGTCAGCAGCGAGTTTGGCAGAGTTTGGCAGCAGTGTGGACGGGGAGAAAAACTTGCGGCTCTCCCCTTCCAGCCCCAGCCCAGTGAGGGCCCAGGTCAGAGGTAGCCAGTGGGGCACAAATTTCCCATGTGTGAGGGTGGATTTTGGTTCCCCCGGCTCCTCTGAAGTTTCTGCCATGTGGGACAGTCCCCTCTCTCTTGAGGCCTCAAACTTTTAAGCCACCGAATGGAAGCTTCTCCTCCCAGTTACCTCTCCACCTCTGACCCTGGGACCCAGCCCCTGTTTCCCCCAAGGACCAGGCAGTCCCTCCTGGCACAGGGCTGAGTAGATCCAAGCCTGAGTCCTTTGGATTTGGAGCTTTCTCCAAACTGTTATACGCACTTCCTCCACCCCATGGGAAGCTCAGGGTAAGGAGTGGTTATGATTCAATAAAGAGCATCAAACCATCAGGAATTGGCTCTGGGAGAGGCAGGAGGGAGGGGTCAGACCTCTGTGTGGGACAAGGTGTAGGGTCAGGGGTGCAGGGCCAGTTTAATCTCAGCAGGAACTGCCCTGCCCACCGCTTCCCTGCCTCTAAGCATGGATTCAAGGAGCCAGGAGGGGAGTCCAGAGGTAAACATAAGTGGTGTGGTACCTGCCGCTTCCCCCTTCCCTTCACCCTTCCTGTCAGGGGCAGGCCAGACACAGATGCAGCTGGGGGCTGGCTGGTTCCTGACTCACCCCTGGGGCTCCCCCTACACCACGGTTTTCCTCTCAGCAGCTGATTCACTCTGTGCTCACATGGGGAAGCCGCTGAGGGGAGGGAAGAGGCCTGTGTTCTGGTTCTTGAAGTTCCTTCCATCTCCTGTGTTTACAAGCTGTGTGACCTTCTAGAAGTTCCTTCTCCTCTCTAGGCTTCCCTCCCCAGCTCTGCTAATGGCCCATCCCCTTCTTGGCTCCCAGGGGGTTCTATACCCAGATATGGCGTTTGTAAAGTAGGGTACATGGGAGCACACACGCCCGTGTGTGTGTGTGCGTGCATGCAGATGCACATGCACAACGCAGGCTCTCACAACAGAATGGAGGCAGGTGGCTCCGGTCACACAGGTGATATCGGGTCCCACCTCCTCACCCTTGCTTATCCGCCACTGGAAGCACCCTCACCTACCTGCTGCCTGTCTGCAGGAAGGAACGTGGTGTATGTAGTGTGGTGGTGAATCTTGGACTCGGAGCTGGAATCTTGGCCCTGCTCCTTCATAGCTATGACCCTTTCTGAGCCTCAGTTTCTGAATCTGAAAACGGGATAATAACGGTAACTACTGTACCTCACAGGGGGACGTGAGATAAAACAAGAGTGTGTATGTGAGGCTTAGTGATTTTATACCTAGCGCACAGTGAGTGCCTCATGAATGAGAGCTATTGTTCTTTTCTGCCTCTGGTCCATCTTTCAAAGCTTGTGTCAGGCTGCTTTGCAAGCCTCCAGGAACATCCCCCAGCAGGTACTTCTGCGTGGGCTCTCTGTGCGTCTCCAACATAAGTGCGTGTGTGCCATGAGGTGCTAGTCATTTCCGGCTTTGTGGTGTTCTCCAGCACTTCCTGGGGGGTGACTGAGTTTCCCCAACATGACTCTAAGCTTCCAGAGGAGAAGTAGGTCTGAACGTCAGTGGCAGACTTTCTCCAACCCCCCTCTTCTGTGCTCGTGGACACTGCGTCCGTTCCTCTTTGCCGCTGGTGTGCGGCATACCGAGTGTCTGTGAACTGCCCCTGGGCTGGGGCTGCCCTATCCGTCTCTGTATCCTTGACTTCTGGCTCCAGGCCTGGCACACAGCAGGCACTCAGGAAATGATGGTTGAATGAATAAGTGATTCTCCTTGGGGCAGC